GATATAACCTGTACTACCCTCAAAAGACAACGAGGACTTACAAGGTACAATGCTGGGCAATTTCGGCACATCAAAGTAATCACCAATCGTATCGATCAAACCCGACGCTGCTGCCGCGATGGAGTGGTTAATGCCGACTCTCTAAATTATTATACCATACTACTATATTTTCTGAAACAATTCATTATTGCAACAAATTCAAGTTATTTCCAATACAAAACTACTTTGTCCTGCTACTGAAGGTCTGTAAGTCACCCTGGCCATCACAGCCACGGTGAAGTGCACGGCCACGGTGTATCTGTGGAAGTGCCATAAACCGGAACAAAGGCATAGACGGTCATCAAAAGGCACCGGCCGCTGGAGTTTTGGGAGGGTTAGGAGGATGGAATAAACTCATCGAATTGTATAACAAATCCAAAGAGATCGGTCTTGTGAGGAGTACTGTCCAAACAAAATTGATGCACAACTCATTTACTGCACAAATAAGACTGAGCATTGAAGCTGAAACAATTGAAGAAGTCAACCATTATATGGGACGTCAACCTGGACATGGACATGAACATGGACGTGGGGAGCAACGGCGGCAAATTTAGCAGAGTAAATGCAGTCTGGTCTATGCTCAACAGGATTTCAGCAGTGGTGCTAAATGACAACCTGCCAGCGATGCTAAAGGTGTCATTATTCCACTCAACCGTGATACCCGCGCTATTGTAAGGCATAGAATGTTGGTTGCATTCCAAAAATATTCCATTTTCCATTCCAATCGACCAACTGCAAAAATAAGAAAATGGACCAGTAGTGTAGCGCAACTGAAGGACAAGGTGGGCCCTCGGCTTACGATCTGGATCCCACTGGATGAGACACGACCTCAAAAAAAGGCCGATAATGAGATGAAGCTATCCATTAGAGTATATGGCCAACAATGGAAAAGACACGAGCAGGGTCGGAACGGATGGTTGAGAGTCAACAAGAAGTGGCGGAGTTTACAAAACGAAGTCGAATCAACGAAGTCGGAGGAGGAGTGTACCAGGCAATGTGACAGTATTATTAGAGGCAATGGTCTGCAGTGCGGCCGCAGAACAGCAACGTTACTATTTCGGAAGCTTATTCACGCGAATGCTACACTCACAATCACTCGTAGCCAATATCGATATTCATGGCTGCATTCCCGCCGACGCTTTGGATCGTTTAGCAAAGTCAGACGTCGATACCGTTGTCGCGATATGTGAGCGCTGCCATAAAAAATATAATGTCACTCACACTGAAAATAGCGAAACCACAAGGGCCAATCATCTCGGTTATTCCTGCGTCGTAATGTTCATTGGCGAGCATCTGCATTGTATCATTATCTCCGAGGAGCACTGAAAACTTTTGTTGTACCTTCATTGCAAGAAATGGTAGGTGGTGTTTATAATCGCCTTCTCAGGTATGGAAAGTTCCCGTTCCTAGACGCTGGTCAGATGAGTAAATTGCGTGCGAACTCACAGTCGCAACATCGAAGTTGTAGTTCATCTTGGTCTGTAAACAGTTGGAGTTGATCAGAAGAAAGACCTGCAGTCTACCTTCCAAAGATTTGAATCCCATGGGCCCAAGTGTGGTACGATTCCTTCTGGAAGAGGATACAGAACCTGAATAAAACCTCGACAGAAACCGACAGCTCTCAAACTTTCTTGCTAGTATGCTATTAGTACCAATTCAGTTTCTTGTTGATCTCCCTTTAAAATACTAATTCGACCCACCTTCTTAGCTAAAGTAGGAGTAACCCACCAAGGTCGCGGCGGCCACACTGGTTGAAAAACTGTCTGAAATTGAGCGTATTACTGAGAAGCACATGATATAATTTCCAGAACTTCTCACTACTGTTTTTTTCTCCTTCTTTCTTCATTTCGCTGTCTTTCGTGACCTCTACGCTTTTTATTTCTTACAAGAAAGCACCAGTAGGTCGGCCCGACTACTTGCAAGAGTTGTAGTACACCTATGTATACGTCCTGGAATGCTGAGCTCGAGTCTGTCCTTGGTCATTCTCTAAGAAGAGTTACGGAGATTCGGAACTCTTCCACACCCAATCACGTAGAGGCGCAGTTATACGTACTATATCGTGTGATGCTACGGCAAAACGTGGCCACTTGGAGTACCCTGCAGTGGTTGTGCTTCGCGGCAAGATGCCGTGAGCCTGTTCCTAGTTAAAATCGATTCTTCGCATTCTGCAGCGACTTGGCTAGAAGGGCTTCCAATATACAGATACATCAGTGGCAGCGTGCCAGATCTACCATGTTGATAGTTGGTTGCAGTGTCAACCACTCTACTCTTGCCTCACCAGCCGTCGACGACAATTTTTCGGAGAAGGTCGTGGAAGCGTTGGAAAAGACCTATCGGTGTAGTCTTACTTGATCGCTGG